ATTTGCCAGACATTCAGCTAGAAATTGAAATAGGTACAGAGAGTCAAAAGTACTTCTCCCAAGAGGCTCTTGTGCAAGTGGGAGATAGAGCTGAATCAGTGCATTTGACGGCACTAGTGCTGGGCTGTTGGGGCACCAGACCTTCCTTGATCTCCTGCCAGGGTTCAAAACAGGCATTAACTCTCTTATAGCACCAGACACTTCTTCTTAGCATGCATCATCTTTGTAGGTTTTATATTTGTTGCTGTATTTTATCTGTTGAATATTTGTCTTTGTCATTCATCTCTGCTTGCAGAGGTTCAGAGTCAATAAGCTGTGAGGTCTTCTTTCCCCTTGCAAAGGCTGATATATGCACGTGCTCAGTGGATGAGTTGGGCACGAAGAGAAAGATACAGTTTTGTCTGGATGAGGAGGAATAAGCCTCAAAGGGTGGTGACATTTGGATGACATGAACCATACCATTGAAGGATAAAGAAGAAGTGGCCATGGAGCAGAGTGGGGATCCATTAAGAAATACAGAGTATTACGGAATGCTCTCGGGGTAGGGAGATGGAGTGAGGTGGATGGTGCTTCTTAGTAGGAAGTATGTATGGAAGATAGGCCTGAGTTGACGTCTGGCTTGGAGTATAAGGGTCTTCCCTTCCCAGTGCTCAAATTTGGAACTTCCCCTCTCTGGAGGAAAAAAGGTGGGAGGGGTAGTAAATTAAACTCTTTGGCAACTGGAATGAATAACAATTTTCCAGATAGAGACAGATTCTTTAATATATAAATTTTGAATTTTGAAAGAATAGAGATAAATCCCTAAACTTTATTTTTTTTTGTTGTTTCCTTTTATTGCTTATTTCTTTTCTACCTTAAAGCCACGTTTATTGCCCAAACACCTGTCTGTACATTTTTGATTATTATGCAGCATCATCATTATCATCATGACCATGTGGTGTCAACCATGCCCTACATACTAAGGATGTCATATATTTGATTCTTTTGCAGCACAAGTAGCTTTCCAGTTTTTAAAGATCTTTGTGTTTTGAAGATACTCTGTTCTTAATTTTTTATTAATACAGGTGTTCAGAACTACCCAAACATTTCTATAAAATAGCATTTTTTTTTTTTGTAGAAGCACTGAGACCTTTTTTCATTATGATTATTCCTTTGGAAACCAGTGATTTGTGCCTGAGACAACTGTCTTCATATTATTTTACCCTGAATGGAATGAGTCTGGTTGGGAGTTCTTCCTCCACAGAAATATTGAAACCTCCAAAACATACTCATTTATAGTTTTAAAGTTAATTCTCTTATCAGATTTCCTTTCATTTCCTGCTGGGGCAGTGTGAATGGAGCTTAGATACAGGCAAAGGATCTGCTGTATATCTTTTCAAATTTATGATTAGGAAGGTCACATATACATTTTTAAACACATTCCTTTTTGATAATAAATGAAGAATAAAATTTTGAAATGTCGTCAGCTGCAGACTTACTCATTTTTCTTTCACTGGAGTTCTCCGTGCCCGATGACTGCCTGCTGGTGGTGAGAAAGGGCACAAGTGATCCAACCCGATCATTTCTTGTTGTTCTGCCTGCCTGCAGTAGTTTCACTACTAGAGCAATATGCCTATAGCCAAAGCAGTACAATAAGACGTGTGTCCCCATTCCTGAATGCCCTCTTTTCCCTGGGCTAATTGGGAAAAAAAAAAGACAGTAAGTGAAGAATTGCATTTTAGGCTGCATTTGTCTTCAAATTGTGCCCCAAATGAGAAATGTAAAGGCTCTTCTCTTTTTGGTCTGGATTCCGGGTCCAGATTCATCCTTCACCTTTCTACTCTGACTTCTGTCTCCAGAGTGTGTTCTGCTCTTGTACTGCGTTGGAAAGATCTGTTGTCACTTCTGGTTTTCACCTGGGTTCAGATCATCAGACCCATTACAGAACATGAGGGGGACAAGGAGGCTGTAACTGGTGCCTTTTTATCTCTGGTTCTGTCCCTGAGACATCATCTAGAACAGGCAGGACCCCTCAGGAGGAAGCCACTGCTTCTGTCTGGTGGCCTCCCCCTTACAACTGTCTCCTTTCAGGTTTGGGTTAATGCTTCACTGTCTTGTCTCCCTGGGGCCACAGGTGGTAAATAATTCTCCTCTACACCCTGCCCACCTTCTCAGGAATCCCTCTACAAACAAACCCTCCCGAAATTTTCCTCCCTTGAGTGTGTCGTCTGCAGTTCTTCTGTGCTGTCTACTTTTAGATCAGAGTGGATACAGGCAAACTTAAAGAGGACTTAAGGAACTTGCCCCGAGTCATGTACCTGGATTGGACCGCAGCTGAGCTCCTTTTGAAACACTTTTGAGTCTAGGTTTACCCCCGCCCCTAGTACCTCCTCTGGCAGGGAGGTCATTATCTCCTGAAACTGCGTATCTCATGATCAGGCAGGCTCAACTATAGGAAAGTATTTCCTATATTGCCCTGAATTTGACATCTTTGGGATATCTGTCATTCTGTGTTGAGATAGGAGTGACCAAGACTGAATTCAAAGTCAAGTCTTATTAAGAAAAGAGCAAGAGACCTAGAGAAATTCATCCTCAAGATATTTAATATTAGCCTATAGCCTTCCATACCACAGGAGCATAATAACTATATTTAGATGCATGTGAGTAGACTTCAAAAAAGTCATAGAAAATGGAATTAAAGGATAAGTTTTATTTTTGTGCAAAAAATTTTTGATATCATGTATGTTTTTTCCCTAGGGTACATGTTCCACAAACATACTGATTTTGTAATCTTAACTATTTTAAAATATGAAAATTGTACAGACTTATAGGGCACCACGTGATGTTTCAGTCCATGTGTATGTTGTGTGATATCCACTCAGGTTAATCTTATTTATCTCTTTAAATAGTCAACATTTCTTTACAGTGAACGCATCCAAACCCTATCTTCTAGTATTGTTTGGTTTTGTTTTTCTAGAGAAGCATAGAGTAAATTAACATTATCTGAAGACCCTTGGATATATTGGGAAAACTCAGGGATGGTGTCGGCTTTCCAGAAATATTTGAATAACTATTATATGCAGAAGAGTTAGTCATATTTTTATATCTCTAATGATATATCTAAGACCCATCAGCTAAAATTTAAGGGAATTGGATTTCAGATCCATAAAAGAAGAACTCTTTAACCTTTCAGTTCCCTGGTGAGGTATCAAAGTCTGTAGGATCAGATATAATTCAGAGAGAGAGATGGGACTCCACTGTGGGGCTCTGAATGAAGAGTTCCGGACACTGCAGTAATAGAAAAATGAAACCAACAGCCACCGTGCTTTGAATGTTCAGCATGTGCCAGGCCCTGTGCTCTGTGCATTTTTATTTGCTTTTTATTGATATAAAGAGATTTCATATATTTCATATATACAGTTTTAAGTACATAATGAGACTTCCACCTTCCTCCTCTTTCCTTTCTTTTAATTTTTACAATAACATACTTACAGTTTACTTTATAACCACAAGCTTAATATTCCATCAAATGAAGAATTCAACAATTAGAAAGTAGAACTACCACTATTCCGCAGAAGTATAGACAAGCACTATAAACAATAATCAAGTCTCAAGATGTCGATTTCACTCATATGTTGCCCTTTTTGTCCTCTGTACCACAAATCAGAGAAAATACATATTTGTCTTTTGAGGTCTTGCTTATTTCACTAAGAATAATGGTCTCCACTTGCATCCATTTTGATGCAAAAGACAGGGTTTCATTCCTTTTAGGGCTGAGTCGTATTCCATTGTGTGTATAGACCACATTTTCTTCATCTAGCCATCAGTTAAGAGCTAAGTCCTGTTGTTTGCCACAGTGTGTAGAGGAAGAGCTCCGGACTTAAAGAGGACTTAAGGAACTTGCCCCAAGTCATGTACCTGGCAGGCAGCTGGGTAGGATGAGAACCCAAGTTGGCCTGACCCTAGGGTCCTGTTGTAAACCTCCTATGGTTGGTGTCAGAATGACCTGGGGAATGTGGTGCTATGCAGAGGTCCAGGCTCCTTCCCATTCCTGGGCCGTTTTGTGCTTTTTCGACTTTTGGGTGATTGCACAGTTTGAGAACCACCATGCTACACTAGTATTGGTATAAATGCCCACCTGGTTCTGAGGCTCTGTTAATCCTTGAGAGTAACTGCACCAAATTCAGCTCAGTTTCCTCCCTCTGAGCTGAGAGATCAGCCTCCACCCTCACCCACTGCCAACAAGCAGCCCCTGCTTCAAAGCACCATTACTCAGTGGGTTATTTCACACGCTCAGTCCCTGCAAGAGGCCATTCTCCATGGTTTTCAAATCTATTTTGAAATTTTTGTCTTTATTTATTAGAGGCAGAGAGATGGGGTTGGGGGCAAAGAGAGAGCACACCCATCTGTTGTTTCATTCCCCAAATGCCAGCTAAAGCCAGGGCTAGGCCAAAGCCAGGAGCCAGGAATCCAATCCATGTCTCCCACTTGGGTGTTAGGGACCCAGTAACTAGCCACATCGCTGCCTCCCAGGGTCTCCATTAGCAGGAACCTGCAGTCAGAAGCCAGAACTGGGAATCCAGCCAGGTTCTCTGACGTGAGATGTGGGTATCTAACTGGCAAGCCAAAGGCTAGCTCCCTGGTCTCTACTTTTATCTCATGAAGACCGTGAGAACTCAAGGATGGGCCTCACCTGCGGCCTGTCTGAGAGTGGAGGAGCATTGTGTAAGTCTCATTTATTTCCTGTTTTAAGCTCCATTATAGAACATGTCCCTTGTTGGGGAAGAGGCATTGTGAGGTTCACATTTCTGAGTAAACAGAAACCATTCCTGGGCTCAGGAGGACCTGGCTGGTTTCCACTTTGACACTGCAGAGCCTATCTTGACTCTATTTCTGGAGAAAGAACCCGGTTCAGGGATTGAAGATGAGGGGTAGAGAAGGAGAACAGTCATCCTCCCAAAGCTTTGATGCAACTGGCACCATCTGACTGTGATTTTTTTCCCCTTGCACATGTCCCAAAGGAAGCTGGCCAAGAAGCAGAAAGAGACACAGAGTGGAGCCCAGAGGGAGATGGGGCCCGTGGCCTCGGCTGACAAACCCACCGCCAAGCTCAGCACCAGCCGCAAGGACGAAGGCTTCTCTTCTAGTTCCCAGGACGTAAATGGATTCAGTAAGTTGAGCCAACAGAAGGGAAGGGGACATCCATGGTCCTACGATCTCTGCTCTAGACCCCTCATGGCGCTCAGGTGCAGCAAGGCCTGAGGTTGGGATGCTTCTCTGGAATGCCCGGGTCTAGGATGAAGGGTCCACCAGGTGAAGACTGGGGGCAGCTCGTCAGGGTGAAAAGGAGTACTTCGGGATCTAGCCTAAAGCAGGTGGAAATGAGAACAAGTCAGCAAAACTGCTGTGGACATAAATAGAGGCCGGTTAAAATAATCATAGCCAAAAGAAGCAGGAGGACTATGCCCTTAGGGGAAAAATGAGACTTACTGAGTTGAGTGACTTAAAATTTCCAAGACTAAGCTTCATGCAAACCACAAAAGGTAAGTGAGTCATGGATCATGACTTCCTCCGTCCTGAATACTCAGGAAACTGAGGCTCAGACAAGCAGCCCCCTCAAAGTCCCACGACTGGTGAGCTCCATGTCCAGGCTAGAACCCATGCCCCGCAAACCCTGACCCAAGCTCCAGCCAGTGCGCAAGTGGCAGTTAGTCAACACCACCCGAGTCCTCTGCAGAGCTAAAAATGTCACCAAGCTAATGAAAGTGGGTAAGGCTTCCAGGTTAGCCGCATCCAAAGGAGAGTGCCGAGATTGCTAACGGATCTGAGGCCACCCTGGTGGTCAGATTCAAGAGAACTGGCTTTTGTTCTTATCTCTCAGCTATGCTATAAGCCAGTTCTTTCCTGGATTTAATAAGCTAGATTGCCCAGCCTCTGCTCCAAATTGGGGAATGCAGAGAACCTCAAAGGATGTGATCATAGACAGGTTTCCTTCCTATACCATGTAAGTTGCAAATGGAAGATACCACATTTAGAAAAACCACTTATGATCCATTTGAAATGATGCGGATCTGTGAGAGGATGAAGGAGGAAAGGAAACCTATTTATTTGCGACTTCTCTGATGCAGATACTGTCCTTCATTTCAGCCCACCATCGTCCTGGGAGGTGGTTAGTGCTACTGATTATCCATCTCATGTTATAGGTGAGCTATGCAAGGCTCAGTGGGCTTGGCTCAACTTTCCAGAGCAACACACCTCATCCCCACTTGATCTGATGCATCCAGGAAGCGAGAGTAACTCAGATCCATGATTCCTAAGCTTAAGTGCTGCACAGAATCCACCCAGGGAGGGTTTCAGACTGCACACATATCTGGGCCCAGCGTTCACTGACTGAATCAGCGTCTGCTGGGGCTGAGGGGTGCAGACAGGACTGTGCAGTTTTTGCAAAGCCTCTCGTGTAGTCATTCTGGTTAAGCAGGCAGCACTTCGGAGGAGGCAGCAAGTCTTTCCAAGCAATGACATGCTGTGTTTAGGAAGAGAGATTATTAGTTAATCTAACAAAAAAGTTGAGAGAAGAGGGAAAAGAATACTCACATACACTGTACCTAGCTTCACCAATTGTTAACTTTTTGGAACATATATTTTCCTTCTCTCTCTCTCTCTTTCTCTGTGTGTGTGTGTGCATGTGTGTGTCAATGCAAATATTTCAAAACCATTTATAAGTTGGGTTGCAGACATCACAACACTCCACACCCAGAGACCTCTGTGTGTGCTCACTAAGAACCAGGATGACTCTGCAACACAGCCACCGGAGTGATCTTACCAAGAGCTGAAACTGTGAATCAGTGTCTCACCTCCCAGTGCAAAACCAGGTTTCCTCAGTGTCGCCACGAGGTTCCTTATTATTTGTTTCTGTGTTGCAGTCCAGGATTCAATCAACTCAATCGTATTTGGTTTCTGTCTCTTCTATTCCTTTCATCCTGAACAGCCCTCCCAACTTTATTTTTTCTTTCAAGATACCTACTTTTGAAAAAAGATATGTTTACTTATTTGAGAGGCAGAGTTACAGAGAGAAGGACAGACAGAGATCTTCCATCTGCTGGTTCTCTCCTCAAATGGTCTCAACAGCCAGGGCAGGGCCAGGCCAAAGTCAGGAGCTTCATTCAGGTCTCCCACATGGGTATAGGGGCCCAAGGACTTGGGCCATCCTCTACTGCTTTCCCAGGCCATAGCAGAGAGCTGAATCGGACGAGGAACAGCCGGGACTAGAACCAGCACCCATATGGGATGCTGGCGCTTCAGGCCAAGGCATTAACCTGCTGTGCCACAGCGCCAGCCCCTACCCTGTATTTTTATCCAAACTCCTTTTATCCCTCCCTCCCCTCTCAGCCTCTAGTAATCAGTGTTATGTGTCCAGATTGAGTTTTGCTGTTTTGTTTTGTTTTGTTTTAGCTGCACGTGTAAGGGAGAACATGCAGTACTTGTCTTTGTGTCTGGCTTATTTCACTCAACATCGTGTCCTCCTGTCCATCCGTTTTGCTGCAGATGACAGGATTTCATTCTTCTTGTGGCTGAATAGTACTCCATTTCATGTATATGTATATTACATATATACGCCACATTTTCTTTATCCGTTAACCTAATGATGGACAGTTTGGTTGATTCCTTATTTTGGCTGTTGTGAAAACTGCTGCTACAAACATAGTGGAGCAGCCATCTCCCTGACACAGTGAGTTCACGTGTTTTCGGTAGATGCCCAGTGCTGAGACTGCTGGGTCAGGTGGCAGATCCATTCTGGTTTTTTTTTTTTTTTTTTGACAGGCAGAGTGGACAGTGAGAGAGAGCGACAGAGAGAAAGGTCTTCCTTTTTGCCATTGGTTCACCCTCCAATGGCCGCCGCGGCCAGCACACTGCGGCAGGTGCACCGCGCTGATCCGATGGCAGGAGCCAGGTACTTCTCCTGGTCTCCCATGGAGTGCAGGGCCCAAGCACTTGGGCCATCCTCCACTGCACTCCCTGGCCACAGCAGAGAGCTGGCCTGGAAGAGGGGCAACCGGGACAGAATCCGGCGCCCCAACCGGGACTAGAACCCCATGTGCCGGCGCCGCAAGGCGAAGGATTAGCCTATTGAGCCACGGCGCCGCATTCTGGTTCTTAAATAAATCTCCTTGCTGTTTTCCACAATGGCTGCACTAATGTACATTCTCCCAACAGTGAATAAGAGTTCCCCTGTCTCCACATGTTCAGCAGCAGTTTTTCCTCTCTTTTCGATACTGGCCCCTCTGACAGTGGTGAAGTAATAGCTCATTGTGGTGTTGGCTTACCTTTTCCTGAGTGTCTTTAAAGAAAGGACCATCTCCCATATGGACACTGGTTCATGTCCCAGCTGCTCCTCTTCTGATCCAGCTCTCTACTAACAGCCTGGGAGACCAATGGAGGGTGGGCCAGGTACTTGGGCCCCTGCACTCACATGGGAGACCTAGAAGAAGTTCCTGGATCCTGGCATCAGATTGTGGCCATTTGGGGAGTGAACCAGTGGATGGAAGATCTCTCTCTCTCTCTCTCTCTCTGTTTTTCCCTCTCTCTATTTGTAACTCTACCTCTTAAGTAAATAAATAAAATCTTAAAAAAAAAAAAAAGAAAAAGGACCATATTGGGCTGTCTGATCCTCTGGCTGTACTGAGTTGTCACTAGCACCCCAGCTTTTGGCTCATGGACAGAGAAGTGTATTTGTAAGTCTAGTTGATTTAAATACTGATCAAATAGTGCCTGTTCATCCCAAACCTTTCCTATACAGTCCAGCCTCTTGTGCTCACTCTCCCATTTCTAAATGCGCCCCAGGAGGACTCTGAATGCCAAAAGATTATAGTCAAAGATCCCTGACAGTCTTGTGCCCTTGAAATTGGGTATTTGGTCTCAAGTTTTTCTGATACCAAATGAAAGCTTAGATAACACTGATTTCTTGGGTTTCAAAGTGAAATATCACCACTGTTTTCACCATGACCCAAAACTTAGATCCTTAAGATGAAAACTCCAGGACTGAGATAGATTAGCTGGTGAGAAATCTGATTCAATGTTTTAAAGGCCAGGCACAGTCTTTCTAAATGAATGGGGAGAGGGGATGTCTGTGTGTGTGTGTGTGTGTGTGTGTGTGTCTTTTACATTTATACACATATATATATGACTACTCCGAAATGTTCGTGAAAGACTGGAATTAAAAGATAAGTTTATTTTTGTGCAAATATATTTGAAATTCTTGGATAGTGGATATTTTTATTATATGCATTTTTCCATTAACTTTTTGAAGAGTCCTCATATACATGAATTTCAAAAAAAAAAAAAAAAAAACCAAAAAAACTTTGGGCCGGCGCCATGGCTCACTGGGCTAATCCTCCGCCTGTGGCACTGGCACCCCAGGTTCTAGTCCCAGATGGGACGCCGGATTCTGTCCCAGTTGCTCCTCTTCCAGTCCAGCTCTCTGCTGTGGCTCAGGAAGGCAGTGGAGGATGGCCCAAGTACTTCGGCCCTGCACCCACATGGGAGACCAGGAGGAAGTACCTGGCTCCTGGCTTTGGATCAGCGCAGCACGCCGGTTGTAGCAGCCATTTGGGGAGTGAACCAATGGAAGGAAGACCTTTCTCTCTGTCTCTCTCTTTCACTGTCTAACTCTGCCTGTCAAAAACAAACAAACAAACAAAAAAGTTCAATGACATTTTCCAAGTGTTTTTTTTTTTTTTTTTAAGATTTACTTATTTGAAAGGCAGAGTGACAGAGACAGAGAGAAGAGAGAGAGAAATCTTAGATCCACAAGTTCATTCCCCAAATGGCTGCAACAGCCAGATCTGGGCTGGGCTGAGTCAGTCCAGAAGCCTGGACCTCCATCGCATTCCTCCACACCATGGCAGGAGCCAAGTAATTAGGTCATTCTCTGCTGCTTTCCCAGGCGCATTAGCAGGGATCTGGATCAGAAGCAGAGCAGCCAGGACTTGAACCCGGCATTTTGATATGGGATGCTAGCATTATAAGCAGCAATTTAATGCAGTGTGCCACAACACTGGCCCCTCCACAAGCTTTTGGCAGTACCTCCATATGCGTACACAGAGAGGTAGAAGCACACAGAAGCATGTACACATCTATGCCTATACAATCATTCTAATGAAATTGCTTTTA